ACACGCACACACGCACCGGCAGCGAAACTAAGGGAAAAAAACAAAGCTCAGCTAATTAATTCCCTTGAGGCGGCACAGACTCAATGATTATCCCCTTGGCGTGTGGGGGCAGTGCCTGTAACTCAAGGCACCGCCCCTGGACCTGGTCTGCTCAAAGTGTATCAGACTGGGAGCGCTGGTGGCTCGGCTAGGCCGGCCGGCCGGCCAGCTGCGCTCATCGGTGGGGGCTGCAAAGCGGTTGCTGGGCACGTAGTGGGCGTTTCGGCGCCGCTGCATGCATCGTACTCCCGCAGGGTGCTGCCGCTCACTGGACTCGGCATCTGGCCGACGTGCTGCGCTGTCAACCAAGCCTTCGCGCGGATCCGCACTTTCCTGTGCTCCCGGCGGCTGCGGGCGGGCCGAATCACCGGTGTCACTGGGTGCAACTGCCGGCTCGTCCCCAAAAACGAACGTCAACCTCCTGCAAAGCCGCGGCGCCTGCAGAGGGCTTGGGTCGGCAGGGACAGGTTCGACCTGAATGTGTTGCGGGCCGCCCGGCATAACGGACTCGACGCGGAATCCGTCGGAAGGCTGGTTGGTTGAGCACGAGGACAGACGTGGGCCTTCCAAACAGCTGTAGGCAAACTTCCTGGCTTGATGCTGTGATGTATCCGTCCGCCCGGTCTAAACGTCGGACAACCCAACCGAGGTGTACGAGGGCGCTGGATGGCATAAGTGCGGCAAGGGCTCGCCTGCGTGGCTTGTTGCCGCAATGCATGCGTCGACTAGCATGCCGGTCAGAACTGGTCCGGGCCTGTTGCAGCCAGAGCACGGCGGCCCGCTTCCCACCACCGGAGGAGCGAAGGTCGGTCTGCCACTGGCCAAGCGCCTGCTCCGACAGCGCACCAATGGTTGCGAATCTTGCAAACATAACACCTGCTGGGCTACGAATATTTCACATTACCAGTGTTGGAGACCTTACAAGGCCACAGCCACTTCACATTACAATGTTTGCGTTTTTTTAACGATCATTTTTTCATGATTTGCATCGTTTTTCAGTCGTTGAGGTCAGTATTTTTGATCGCTTTCCATCAGTTTGTATCATTTCCTATTACGTGACCTTAATTGGTCGCCCGTGACATGCGGGTCTGACGGTTTTTTCTTGCAGTAATTTCATCATCGATCATCATCATCATCATCATCATCATTTTTGTTGTTCGCAATTGCTGGGGGGGGGCTGCGCCCCCCGCTGCCGCCGGCATTGTTTAAGGCCATCCATAGCATGTTTTTCCATAATTTTCATCATTTGCATCATTTTCATTTATTTTATTATTTTTAAATATCATTTTCATGACTTTTCACCGTTTGCAGCATTCTCGTCATGTTTCATCATCTTCTTGCATGCTTGCATAAACGTTCGCCAGAACATAACCATCATTTTCCATTATCGGTCGACCCATGCTCACGTAACCCCACCTCACCCTTCATCACTTGTAGTCAAGCCAACCGAGCCATCCGAAACCCGTTTAAGAAGGCAGTTCTGCAATGGGTGGACAGAAACAACACATGGTATTCATCGTATGATAACCGCTTACTCTTGACACATGTTCTGCACACAACACCAATCCATCAAAGACCCCAGGGCATATGTGGACCCGGCAGAAAACACGGTGCCTTACCATCGTTGGTATGCAAAGCATGCCCGGAATTTGGACATAACAAACCAATAGGTCATGTTCATGAGCCATGGTTGCATGGCTGGCAGCGGGCGAGACAGGTTTGGGCTTTGGGAAATTGACTTTTGCAGAAACAACTGCATGGGGACCAGGCTCAGATGGACATTGACGGCGTGCCTCGAGTCGATTTCAGACGATGCGTTGGATGCGTGTCATTTTATATTTGACGCATGGTGCTGCATGTTCAGGTGGTCGGTTTAGCTCGAGCACGCGGGGTGCCAACCTTGGTAGCTTTGTCGTATTGTTTGCAACAGCCGTTTTCGCACANNATATGTGTGGATGTCGCATCTCTGCGAGGCTCGCCTGTGTGCAGCATTCCGTGAGTTTGATGCCCAACGGACGGGGTGTTGGCTATCGTGCCCTGGGCAATATCAAGTTGTCATGTCTGCCACTATCGCTAGGACCGGCGTCATCCACAGAACATATCTGGAGGCCGAACGACTTGTTCGTGTTTTTTTTTTTTCGGTCTGGTGTTGCGAGTCAGGCCCTGATCCATTTGTCATTGGC